GAAGATAACAAATTTTCGTAGCAGCATTTTGATATTAGTTCATTTTGTTTAAACAAAGGTTATACAACTTTTCTCTAGTGAGCCCCGGCTAAAAATGAGACCTTTTTCAAACCCGGCCTCGATCCTGGCTAAACTATATGATTAAGCAGGGGTTGATAGCCGGGGGCATAAAATTATAATATATAAAGTATTATAAATTTTTTTCTAGCCCCGGTTGATAGCCGGGGCTAGAAAAAAATTTATAATACTTTATATATTATAATTTTATGCTTACATTTACTATTTATTAAATACTGGTATATATTTATATATTTTCAAAATCTTATTTACTTCCAACAAGATTGCAAGCAACCACTATTAAGTTATTAGTTACTTTAAAATAGAGAATAAGTAAAAATACTAGGAAATGGTCAACTGAAGACTTAAAAAGTTGTAGGTTGTATATAAAAGAAAAACACGAAGATGGTTAATAGTTAAAAAGTTTTTTTGATGTGCAAGAGAAAAAACTGGATTAATAAAAGTTTTTATAGCACGAAGGGACAGATACAGTAAAAGGATGCAACTTGTTGAATAAGAAATGAGCAAGAATGAGTTTTGGTTTATCGTAATATTGCTGATAAGATAATAGATAATATCTGATAATAATATCTGATAAGATGATAGCTGGTTTGAGCACTGACTATGATTGTATTTTTAGAAAAAAGAAAGAAATGCAACCTTACAACAATGGGAGAATTTCTCAAGCTTGACATATAAAGCAGGTCTAATTTATTATTATAATTTTTTATATGTTAATTCACCTCCTCAAGGCTAAAAACGCCACTACAGACAAGGAGGCAACTTAATTGTGGTTATAACCCTCTCTCAACTACATAACTTTGAAACATGAACCTTGATAACCAAGGCTGCTGCGCAGAAAAACAAGTTGAGTGCGGTATTATCAGAGATGTGGTGGGGATCGAACTCGGTACCTCTCGCTTGACGCGAGCGCTCTACCACTACACCATGATAGACTGCCTGAGAGTAAGAGGGTTTTTATTTATCAATATAGGAATACCAACATTATTGCAATATTTTTTTACAGTAAATAAATAAGTTTTGTTGTCTAACAAAAATTGCAGATTCAAGTCCAGAATTAATTCAGAATTTATAGAAGCGAAATCAGATTAAAAATCAGCCGTTTGTTTTAAGCAATCAAAAAGTGAAGATTTATAGCCAAGACAAGAGTATAAAGTTGAGTCATCAACAAATAGAGCCACTTTAGATGTTTTCATGAAGATTGATATTGTAGATAAGAAACAATAATGAAGAAAAGGTTTAAAGGTACCACAAGATGCCTTGTGGTACCCTTAAAGTTACTTGAAATAAAGAAGTGTAGGCCTTCAAGAATAACTTTGTTTCTGATAATCTCAAAACCTTTATATAAAGAAACTAATAATAGAATGAAGACTAATCGTAGGACAGTTGGAGAGGTCAAAGTGTTTTCTAGAGTTTAAAATAATTGGAACCACTTATTTAGCATTTTTTAAAAATTAAATAATATATAATTAATAAAATTAAATGTTAGACTTACTTTAGTTAATGACACTGTTGAAGTTGTTGAACAACATTGTTGTTCAACATTGTTGAAGACTAACCAAAAGTCTCTAGAACCTAACATCTGATATAAGATACAAGATTTAGTAAACTGAAAATAACAGCTTAACATCAGACGGGACCTTATTGCACTGGCTTCTTGGAATAATAAAAGGACATTTGTTCTTAAGAGAGATGTTCTTGTAAAAAAGATGAAATAAATGATTGATAAAGCAACTGCTCAAGATGGTGAAAAATATGGAGTAAAATGAGGTTTGACTAAAAATTGAAGAGTAGGAATAAAAGCTTCTAAAATTTTATTCCAAAAAGAATAAAAACTTCTGAGATGAGCTTTATGCATACATGTTATGGATATAAACATATGTTTGCTTTTTATTTAGATGCTGGTATTCAACATTCTTTCATATTTATATAAACTTTAGTATTTATATGGTGTAGTATTTGCCAAAAGAGAAGACAATGATGTATATATATATATATATATATATATATATATATATATATATATATATATATATATATATATATATATATATATACATATATATATATATATATACATATATATATATATATATACATATATATATATATATATATACATATATATATATATATATATATATATACATATATATATATATATATATATATATACATATATATATATATATATATATATATATATATATATATATATATATATATATATATATATATATATATATATATATATATATATATATATATATATAATTATATATATATATATATATATATATATATATATATATATATATATATATATATATATATATATATATATATATATATATATATATATATATATATATATATATATATATATATACATACACACATATATATATATATACACACATATATATATATATATATATATACATACATTTGATTATCTTGTCTTGGTCTAATAGAAGCTTTTTAATTTTATTAATCAAGAAATGTAATTTTTGCATTTAAAACTTTTATAGTCTTTATTAACAAAATAGAATTTTATGATTAAAAATTTTATGACACCAAAAGAATACTAAAACAGAAATTGATAAATATGTTAAGAAAAGATCAAGATTAACAGATGACTTAAAAAATTACAAATTATAAGAATCAGGAAAACAAGACAAAGAGAGCGAATTTCAAAGAACTGATGCTCAAGGAAAAAAATTAGACAAAAAAATTTTTTGAAGCACTTAAGAACAGTCACAGTAAAAGGATGAGACTTAATTTAATGACAAGTAACACAAGAATGAACTTTAGTAGATGAAACAAGAGATGCTAGCTCTTTAGAACAGTGCCTATAGTATATATTAAAGTATTTATAGAAAAGAGAAGGGAAGCAACATTTTTACAATACGACAATCATTGAAGATTGGCTGCAAGAGCAGGTCCAACTATGTTTACAATGCTTTTTTGCACCTTGTCTAAAAGAGAAAGAGCATCCTTCGAAGATCTGGCAACAGTATTCAATACAAGGACAGATTAGAGATTTATAGAGATAATGAATGGAATCCTAAGTAAGAAAGTGGCAAGCACGATAAAGAGATGCAACTTTAGCAGATGCTAATTTTGCAACGGATTTGATATATGGTTTCCAAGAAAGATCAGAAGTAAAAGTTAATCCTAAAAGACGAAGAATAGATGAGTCATTGAGTACATTAATGCTCATAAATACAGGAAGATCTAGATTATTGTGATAACAATAAGCTGAAAAAAAAAATTGAGTTTTATCTGAGTTAAACTTTTTTTATATTCTGAGAGATAGTTAATGCAAATTAAAAAAACTATTAGGTCAAGTACAGAATTTTAAGGAACACCTGAAGCTACAGGAAATGAAGAAGAGTAGTGCTAATCGAGGACAACTTTTAAACTACCATTGGAAGATAGGATTAAAAAAATGTTACCTGATACACCATTAGAAAAGAGCTTATGGAGAAGACCAGCATGCTAAACTTACAAAATTTACAAAAGATTGAAATGTTGAGAGATAACCAATAGGTTTTATGGCGCATCTAATGAACAATAAAACCTATTGGTTATTACCGTTAACAAATTAGCAGTAGAAAGACAAGATCAAAATCCATATTGACGATCAGAAGGTTTTAAGATGAAAGTGTTTGTTAATAAAAGCACTTGTTAAATAGTTTGTTAATAAAAGCACATGTTAAATAATTTTGAAAGTATAGACAACAGCTTTGGAAAACACTTCTAGAAGACTATAATCGAACATGTTGACTGGACCATAAGCTGTAAATGAATCTACGCAAGAAATCACTTAAGATATAGAAGTTGGAGTGATACAAATGCCAAGCAATGGATCAACCTGTTTGTCACCTGTATAAGGTAGGATGAGATTAGTGGCATCAAGATTGATGAAAAGTTCTAAGTAAACAATTTAGCTTTGTCTTTAGGTGAGGTTACAAAATCTAAACCATGGAAGTAACAAATTTGCCCTTTTTATAGACACTGTCAAAGATTCTCCAGAAGTCTTGGAAGCTAATTTTTGAGATAAATTACAAGATTTTGTGACCTGAGAATAGCCAGCTTTGGTGTTAGACAAAGCCTTTTTAAAATAGTTTCTAGCAAGAGTAAACAGATGTCTATTTCCTGGAAAATTGTTTTGGTGATAGATATGGAAATAACGGTTAAGATTGGGAATTACAAAAGCACAATTAGCGGAAAATCATGAAGAGTGAGGCTTGAATGAGAAAATTTTGAAATTTTTTTTTTCAAAAAAAAAGCAGAAAATTTATGAAGAGTGAGGCTTGTCTCACATAATAATCTTTTATCTCCCCTCACCAAGGGAGGATAAAAGGTTCTTATCGCTGCTTCTTATCAACAAGATTCAATTCTAATTGTTGATTCTTATCTTCGAGAAGAATTAAAAGATTCTTATCGTGAGAGAGAATAAAAGATTTTCTATTTATTTATCTATTTTATATATATACATAAAAAATTTAAGTAAATTTTTGATGCATTTACTATTTAGTTGTATTGCTTTAAATTTAGATTTTAGACATTTTTTTTAAAAAAAGAAGTGTTAATTATAATTTTTAGTCTTTTCTCGACTATATTATAATAAATAGTCAACAAGCTTAGAACTTTAAGCATTACAAAAACCTTCAAAAATAATGTTAGTCTTAAATCTCTATCTAAAGATTTTTATTTATAATTTTTATACACTTTTATTTCTTGAAATATTTCTTAACTGTTTTACTTAAATAAGACACCATATTTGTTTAAAATTTTATAAACTCCACCCTTTTGGTGTCAAACTTTACTATTAAAACTAAATTTTTTAGCTTTACTTAAGATTCCCACAATTTAGTAACAACAAATAAAAAAGTTACAACAAAACAAATTCTCACTTGTGTAGCACAAACACACCAACATCAGAGTTATTTTTCTAGAAAACCAAAGTTTATTTATAAAATAAGTATAAAATAATATTTTTTTTTTACAAAAAGATTTCAAAAAAAATAAAATAAAAAATAATAGTAATAAAAAATAAAAATTGTCTGCTTCATTCTCATTTGAAATTTAACTTTGTTAAATTTCAGATTTCTTATTCAATAACTTTTTAATACAAGTCAAACAAAACATAAAATATTATAGCATAAATGGTTAAATATTTAAAAAAATAATAATAAAAAAATACCCTTTTCATAACTGTTTCTATTGGTTGCTTTGTTTTCCAACATACAACTTGATTGTCACAAGACTAAAAAAGACTTATTTAAGTTATCATTTATAAGTTACTCTTATAATGCTTAAAAATGTAACCTGCAAACTTAATATAAAATTTTTAAAATTAATATTAACAAATTAATAAAATAAAATTAATTAATAATAATAAAATTAATTTTTAAAATGATTTAACACTGCACAGACCAACCACAAACATTATAATTAGTACTAACTTTTGATATAACAAGATCACCTAACCAAACACAACAATCAACGTAATTACGATGAACTTCTCGAGTAGTATACTCAGGATAATGAACATTTAATGTATGAAAGATCCTACATTTTAAAAATAAAAAAAGCATGTATAACTTTTACATGTTTATTTGTTTTTATTTTACATATCATGAACTTCATAACAATAAGTAACAGTCAAAATAAATTTATTAAGTATTAGAAACTGCATCATGAAATGCAAAAATAATAATAAAATTGTTTTCAGGATTGGTACCAACAAAAAAAAAAACAATAACCATAATAATAAATTTAATAATATTAACACAGACAAAATTATTACTTATATACAGAAAAGATCTTGCATTCAATTAATTATTTTGATTTTAAAATAGAAATAGTGCTTTCACATATAGGCATAAAATATTTTTAAAAATAGGAAAAAAAATAAAATTTCAATTTTTAATACCAAAAAGTTATAAGGCTTAGGAAATTTAACATTCAGCAACATGGGAACATGTCAACACAATGAAAAGTCAACATTAGAACATGTCAACACAGAAACATTTATATGAGATATTTGAAATGAGTTAGAGTAATTTAAAAGTTTCTTGCTCTGGAATTTTTTTTACCAAAAAGTGGAATTTTTAATACCAAAAAGTTATAAGGCTTAGGAAATTTAACATTCAGCAACATGGGAACATGTCAACACAATGAAAAGTCAACATTAGAACATGTCAACACAGAAACATTTATATGAGATATTTGAAATGAGTTAGAGTAATTTAAAAGTTTCTTGCTCTGGAATTTTTTTTCATGCGGTGGCCTTGTCAGAATTTAATTCTGACAAGGCCATCACAATTATAGTTGAAATTTACTAGAAAGTAGAGGAGAGAGTTAAAGAACAAGAAAATGTTTTACAGAAATATTATAAATTGTACAAGTAAGGAAAATATGAATACAGGAAGGAATGAGCAGGTGAGGCACAGTGGTTAGAGTTCTGGCTCAGAATCCAGAGGTCTGATGTTGGCTCTAGCCAAATAAGCGACATTGATAAGAAAGGAGGCGTGAACTTCTTTGTTAAATTCTCTTCCGCCATAAGACCGTTAGGACTTCTGGGAGCACATTAATAACAATATTAAAAAAAAAAAAACTCTAAGCACTAATGTTCCAGAAAAAAAAAAAAAGTTTTTTGAGCATAAAAGATTTTTAACAATTGAACAAGAGATGGTAGATAGGACAAGCAACATATCAAATGTTTCAAGCTCAATATTGCCAGGGAAAGCAGGTTGAACTACACTTATAATGCAATTTTGGATCTTGTCTGGAAGATAAAATAAGCAACAGTTAAACACTTGTTAAATTTAACAAGTGTTTAACTGTTGCTTTTTTGAAGCTTATTTTTATAAAAATATTTGCTTATTTTTGTTTAACTGTTGCCTATTTAGTCTAACCATGAATTTTTAAAGTTCATTGTTAGACTTCACAAAACTTCACTCCTACTTGAAACAAGAACACTTCACAAGAAAACTTTTGTTGAATAGTTAAGAGAGTATTGAGATAATAATGAATCTGAATAATAACTGTAACTTTAAATAATAAAAAATAATTTTCATTTTTCATAACTTTCATTAAAAAATAAAATCTTAAACAAATTTAAACTATTTTACAAATCAATATTTAATCTGTAAAAATTAGTGAAAAAATGTGGCTTTATTACTTTAAAAGAAAGACATTAAAACTGAGTGGATCAAAAAACCAGAATTTTTAAAAAAATGCCTCATAATAGCTCTAAATGTATTTTATATAATAAAATGATATTTGATTTAAAAAACATTTTTAATCAAAATAATTTTTAGAGGTGCCCTAAGACTCTTTACCATTTACAGGTTTCTTAATATTAAAAAAAAGTTTTTCAGAAGTAGATCAACCTGAAGTTTTTCAGAAGCAGATCAACCTGATCAAAATGAAGTGAAAAATTTTAATGCATAAAAACTGTTTTTAATGAAAAATAAAAGTACAAGTGTGGTGCATTTTAGAAAGATTCTTTTGGTGCATTTTTACAGGTTTCTTATTATTATATATTTTTTCTTGATATATATTTTTTTAAACTATATTTGTTAGAGGCGCCTTTAAAAATCATTTTTTTTAAATTTTTTTAAATGCAGTGTATTTTTATTATATAAAATAAATTTAGCGCTAATATGAAACATATATATATATATATATATATATATATATATATATATATATATATATATATATATATATATATATATATTTATATATATATATATATATATATATATATATATATATATATATATATATATATATATATATATATATATATATATATATATATATATATATATATATATATATATATATATATATATATATATATAATAAAAAGTTAATGTTGAAATACCTTTCTGTATTTAAGTAAGTGTGCGAATCATTGATTACCTAAATAGTAAGGAAAAAAAACCATTTAACAGAGCATCTTTGATTTAGATCATGTTTTTAAATTTATTCACCTCCAAAAAAGGGCTAAAAGGCCACTATAGTTGAGGAAGCTACTTTATTGTGGTTACAACCCTCTTTCAACTCTCTGAAACATGAACTTTGATGAACAAGGCCACTGCACGGAGAAACAAATTATGTGTGGTACTAACAGGAATATGGTGGGGATCAAACTTGCATTGTTTAAAAAAATCAAAAACAACCTTTCAGTGAGTTGGATTGTATATCTTTCCCATTAATAATTTCTGTTTGAAATGTAAAAATATTGTTCATTTGTATATAAAAAATGTATAAAAATTTAATTTAATAAACAAATTTATATGTTACAACTAAAAATCCAGACAAACCATGTAGCTTCAATTTATGTCTAACAATGTTTTATAAATTTGTAATTCTGCCTATTATGTTGCAAATTTATTCCTTTACAATATACCATAGCCTACTTTTTTCAGAACCTAATTAAATATGTCTAAAAGATTGAAAAATCAAGAGGCACTCTGTAAACGAGTGTAAGCTTTTCTGGATTTGCATCCAGAAGAAACCCAAATGTTTGTTAATCATTTTTTAATGGAAAATGTCTCGAAATCAACCATGTACGGCAACATAAGGAGATCGATATAGGACCAGAGAAAAAAGTTGGAAGTGGTTGGACTGCAAAAAAAAAATGCCTAAGAAACAGATTAAAACGCCTGAAAAAATTTATTGATAAAAAGGATGGTGTTTCACAGCATAGCTTAACCAAAAGAGTTAATGATTCCCAGCAATATATATCTAAAATTATGAACAAAAAAGACGAACATTTGATATTGTAAAAAAATTTTAGTGCCAAAAAGAAAATTGGCTCAGTAAGCTGCTGTGCATCTTAAGTGCCAAAAATTAGTTGCACTTTTCCGGAAAAAATTTGTGATAATTGATGACGAATCATATTTTCTTTTGAGCAAAAACAGCCCTCTGTTAACATAGGTTATTATACTTCTGATCTCGACGCAACTCCTAATGAGGTCAAACTCAAAAGAAAAAGCAAATTTGAGCCAAATTTATTAGTTTGGATGGCCTTGTCAGAGAAAGGGGTCTTAAAGTATTACATTGCTTCTTTGGGTCAAGCAAGGATGTGTACATTCCTAAATGGTCAAATTAAAAAAGTTCATCAACAAGGTTCATAAAAATGAAAAAATTGTGTTCTGGCCTGATCTAGCCTCCGCACACTATTCAAACAAAGTACAAGATTATCTAAAAGGCAAAAATATTGAATAGTGTTGAGAGACATAAACCACGCTAATGTGCACAAATTACACCCGTATAAGGATTTTTGGAGTGAAATTAAAAGATTGGTTTTTGCAGACAATTGGCAAGCTAAAATCTCCGCCAACTAAGAAATCGAATAGAGTATTGTATGAAAAAAATTAATCAAAATTGTAAACCCAGGCTTGAGTACCTTTGTAATAGTTGACCGTGTTCAGCGATATGGACTGATAAACAAATAATTTTTATTTTATTTTGTAAAATACAAATTTTTTGTTAATTTGTTTTTTAAATTTAAAAAATTGATAACGTTGTTCAAGAGATATTCATTTTCAAAGTTTGTCTGGATTTTTAGTTGTAAAATGTTAATAAAACATCTTGATGTTTAGAGCGTGAATTAAACTGAAATGTGAAACAGGTATTTTGGCTTTCCTTTAACTTTTTTTTTTATATTTAATAAATTTTTTAAAATTTTAATAGAATTTAAACTGCTTCCAAATGTAAAATATTATTTCCAATATTGTTAAAAAAATGTTGTAACATCAATATTATTTGTTTTCTGGTAACTCCCAACATAAATCGTGGCTTATTGCAGCCTTGTTGGGAAAAATTTGTTGAAAAAATGTGATGAAAACATACAAATCATATTCTACAAAAATCGATAGTCAAAAAACAAGATGACTACACAAAATCTCTGATTGGATTTAACTATAATAAATGTTATTTAAACCAAAAACCTACTTTTTTGCATTTTTCTGTCTCAAGTGACCAAAATTTTAAAGAATGATCCATTCCACAAGATACTATTTTTGTACCAAGTACATCAAAATCCTTTGAAAAAAAAAAAAAGAATGATAATATTTCTAAATATTTAATTTAATTTTTCTACCGATCAGTAAGCAGTCAGAAGTCATAAAAGTACTTCATTAAATAGTCTCAAGTTTATTGACATGTTTAAAAATTTTAGTGTAAAACTTCACTTCAACTTGTTAATGCAGAAAGAAAAACTTACAATACCCAGAACTTCATCTCTGTGACCATCTACACCACCAAAGATTGCAACACAAACTTCTGTTTTAATGTTCCACATTCTAATAGTGTGATCTTAAAACAAAATGCAAAATAAAGTTTTGATTAAAAAAAATAATAATAATAATACAAGACACTCAAAATTAAATTTTTAAATATTTTGAAAATTTTTTTTTATCAAACTATAAGTTTAAATTTAAAATATATTTACCTTTACTTGCACTGAGAATTATTGATGGTTCAATGGGGTGTGTCTTTAACTCATTGATCGCACTGCCATGTCCTTGAAGATACTACATAGTTAAAATATTTTTATAAAGCATTTTATGAACCTTGTATTATAGAATCATGCAATACAAAACAATAATGCAGTATTAATTAATAGATTATCAAATAAATTAGGTTAATTAAGGCTAAAAAAGGCTAATTACAACAATTCAAGATATAAAAAATATTTAATTTTTTAAATAAGATGTTTTTTGTAAAACCTTTTTTTTAGCTTATCATCTGTTTAACGTTTGTCTTGGAAAAAAGTTGCCATTGATTATTGGTTAAAAAAAGGAACCAAGTAATAACAAACTGGCAGTCCAGAGGGATTAGCTAATTTTTTAAATAAAAAAACCCTTAACCACTAATTTTATAAATCTGTTCATTTATTTAATGTTAAACTGATAAATTAGAGTTGATATGCTCCTTAAAATAAATCAATAAATGCATGAACATAATTAGTTAACAATAAAAAAAGAAAAAATTTATTTTCTATTTGAAAGGGTTGGGATTTTAAAGTCTACTAACTAAAAGCAATATACAAACCCATTGAGTCGTTTTACCAACTACACAAAATGTTATAACAACTTAATTAAAATTAAAAATTTACTTAACATAAGGTACTAACTAGAAACCTCATTACAAATGTTTCAAAATAGTTACAAATTAGCACATTTTAAAATTTTAAAAAGTATTTTCAATTTATGCCAGACTCTTGTACAAACAATTAAGTTTTAATTTGATTGAAAAAACGAAATTGGAATCAGGCAAAAATAGTATTTATTTTCTGGCAATAAATTATTAAACACAAACCACATAAAAAAGAAAGAATAATTATTTTCGCAAAAAAAAATTTGCCATTTATTTGATTTATTTTAACATATGAATTTTTTATCAGGATGGACTGATAACACTAACTCTAACAGAAACTCTAACTAACAGTAATCAGTAAAGTTTACGCATAATAGCAATATAAATAACTCATGCAATATTTCAAAATTTGCATAGATATTGATGAATGAAAACATGAAAAATAACTGAGACAATAAACATCTCAAAAAAACAATTCTGAACAGAAGTGAACTAAACTATGTCATTTTATTCAACGTTTTATTAAGATAGTTTAAATGTTATTGAACTTGTTCTCTACTACATAATTAAATTTATTTCACCCAGTAAGACAGACCGACCAAATTATTATTAAATAGTGTAGCATACCATTAGAAAGCTCTTAAAGAGCTATTAATAAAGTAAATTAAAGTGATTTTTATAAAACAGCACCAAGTTGGCATTTTGCAGTTTAACTATGAGATTCAGATTCAAGCTATATTTTATATGAAAAATTAATTTTGAAAAAGCTTTGTGCAAGTTTCATCTGCAGGTAAGGTGATGGCTTCAGTTTTTTCAAATTACAAAGGAATTTTATTTAATCAACTGAATAACCAATTTTAGACCAATGTTAGCAAAAACATCTTTTCTATTAAGTATATAACAGTATTTCTGAAAATTGTTAACATTTAGATAACAGAATTATTTTAATTATTTTATTTTTATAAAGTTTTTAATCAGCTAAAATGTGTTTAAAAATTATTGAAACATGTAAATCATGTAAAAAAAAAAGCAAAAAAAAAAAAATAATAAAGCAAAAAAAAAAGAAAGTAATTAATGAAAGAATTTAATTTGAAATAGCAAAATTTTAATTAACCATAATGGTACTATTAAACAACCCTAACATCTAAAAGATACTATTAAACAATCCTATGATACTATTAAACAACCCTATGATACTATTAAACAATCCTATGATACTAGTAAACAATCCTATGATACTATTAAACAATCCTATGATACTATTAAACAATCCTATGATACTATTAAACAACCCTATGATACTATTAAACAACCCTATGATACTATTAAACAACCCTATGATACTATTAAATAACCCTATGATACTAGTAAACAATCCTATGATACTATTAAACAATCCTGATACTATTAAACAATCCTATGATACTATTAAACAACCCTATGATACTATTAAACAACCCTATGATACTATTAAACAATCCTATGATACTATTGAACAATCCTATGATACTATTAAACAATCCTATGATACTATTAAACGACCCTATGATACTATTGAACAATCCTATGATACTATTAAACAATTCAATGATATTATTAAACAACCCTATGATACTATTAAATAACCCTATGATACTAATAAACAACCCTATGATACTATTAAACAACCCTATGATACTAATAAACAACCCTATGATACTATTAAACAATCCAATGATACTAGTAAACAACACTAACGTCTTAATAATACTATTAAACAACCCTATGTCTAACAGTTTGAGGTCGGCAATGAATAGCCAAATTTTTTAGTATCATTGTTCAGTAATCATTTATCTTAAGAAAAAATTATCTTTGAAAAAATTAAAACAACAATTCATTTCAATTCAATAAACTTGTTCATATCTGTAATAAACTTAAACTGTTGCATACCGTTACTTTGTTTTAAACAATACATTTAAACAATAAATAATTGCTTAATAATCATAATTGGTAATAAAAAAAATTTATTTTATCCTGATTAGTCATGTGATTTGTTTCGAAGATTTTATTATTACTAAAATATTTAAAACTAGAACATTAAAAACTAATATTAGAAGCTTTTATAACGTTTTTCAGTATTTAAAACAATATTTTTATAAAAAACTTACAGTAGCAACTTGACGTATGCATGGGCTAAAAAAGAATACAAACATAAAAATTATTCTAACTTCTAATATATTATTAAAAACTCAAAAGAATAACTGCATAGTAATTAGAATTAGAATAGGTAATTAAAAATATTAAAGAAAGTTAGCTAAAATTTTCTTTTTACTCCCAATACACATTAGGCATGAGTGTAAATCAATAAATAAAGTAACAAGGGTGAAACAAAAGTTTAAAAACATACTTAAGTATATGAATGATTCCTTTAGCTCCAGCAAAACAAAACAAAGGATTTCTGTTATCAGGATCATATGTCCATGAACATGCATAGAAACTTTCTTCTGGCTATAAAAACATAAATCTTTTAATTTTAATTTAATTAAAAATTTTATTAAAAACATAATCACACAACACTATGACAACACATAGACACACATCAATATCACAACACACAAAACACACCTCCTTATAACATATAAACAAAGATTACTATGACAACACATCACTATTATAAAATCACATAAACACACATCACTATTATTATAGCAAATAAACACACATCACTATCAGCATAACTTTGAAGCAATATAATTTGTCCAGAATCTTCAGCACATTTGTAAATTGAAACCTAAAAAACAAGCCAAGTAAAAAAATAAATATCTGCATGAAAATAATATTTTATTAGGTAAACAAAAAAATCCTTCCTGGTTATGACCTGTACTGTTTATGAAGTTAAACTTGTCTTATATTGGACAGACACAGCTACTTAACTAAGGTGAAGACAACTTACAAAAAACAAGGAAACTCTGATATAAAATCCTTAATTTAATTGTGGTTAATAGTAAGAAGGAACTTGTAAATCTTGGATGACATTCTTTCAGTGGCATGCTGGCTCGAAAAAGCCCAGGATTTATCTAAAAAAGCCTATTTATGCAGGATTACCATATATGCTTAATTTGAAGACCCATAAATATGCTATGATTTAAAATGGCATGTATCTTAGAGCAAACAAATTAGCATTCGATTGTGTTATAAAAATAGCTGGTTTTTATCAGCATTGACACTATTAGTTAAAAATGTAATAATGATAGATTTCAAATAAAGATCAAATGTTTAGGAGAAATAAATGGATAATTTTTATTGTGCAACGGTCAAGTGATAAAACAATATTTTGTGAAAAAAATAATTGTATAATTTTTTAAGAGAACTATATTTTTATCTAATCAAATAGCATAATTTTTTTTTTAATCTAATTTACTCTAAAGAAGGCTACGAGCAACTACTATTAAGTGGGGAGTTAAGCAAAGAATAGAGTTAAAGAGCAAGAAAACAGTTGACAGAAGATATGGAAAGTTGAAGGCTGTATGAGTCAGGAAAACATGAAGATAGGAGGAAGTTCTAAAGTAGTACAAGGAAAAAAACTGGACGAATGAAAGTTTTTAGAGCATGCAAGGACAGATACAGTAAAAGAAAGTAACTTTGCTGAATGACAAATCAAGCGAGAATGAGTTTTAGTTGATGGAACTAGAGATGATAGAACGCTGTTACAGAAGCTCCAAGCTGTTACAGAAATGAGATCAGATTTATGATTGCCTCTTCTAAGCGATCAAAAAGAAAAGGCTTTTTGTCTTAAATAAAGTTGATTCATAAGCCAGAGAAACAATACTAGACCAAGGATTGGGTACCTCATGAATAGAACCTTGAGGTAACCCAAATGTTACTGGAAATGAGATTGGCCTTCCAGAACCACTTTAATAAAGCAGTTAGAAAGAAATGATTTGATAATTTTAAAAACTTTTACGATACACCATATGAAGGTTATGGGAAAGACATGCCAAACTTTATTGAAAGCTTGAGATATGTCGAGATTAGTAGATTAATATTTTAACACAAAATTAATAATTTGTTTTCATTCTTCTATTTAGTATACCATTTTATCAGTCTTATCTTAAAAAAATTTTTTTTTTGGTCCCTAGTAGTACCATGCTTAATACTTGCATTTTCAACATAAGTCTCCATGCAGGAGACAACAAAATTCGAATAAAAATACTTGAACTAACATACAGCTAGAGAGAGCAATATTTCAACATTTGTTTCAAGTTTCAATAGTATTATGTATTGATATTGTTAAACAACTTAAAAAATACATAAATTGTGTATGTGATCATTTATAATAGTAAAATAAAAATACATAACTTATCAAAACTTTGAGAAAAGGTCTGATAATATCCTTGACAACAGTATTAGATTTAAAAAAATTATCATTAACACTATTTTAAAACAAAGTTGATTCTTCTTTTATTTTATATTTAAACTATTTCTACTACTTATGAATTTTGGATGAAAAAAAAAAAATCAATTAAAAATATTTAATAATAAAAATAATTTAAAATACAGAATTACCCTATTGCTTCCAACAGTTCCAAAAATTAATGGATCATCTTCTCCACTGGAGCATTGTTGGTAAAATTGAACACCAAAAATCGGTTGTTTGTGATCCTCCTAAAAAATTTACAAAATATTATTATCATTCAAATTATAGGATATTTGCAGTCTCTAACTTCTGTAAAGTGTAAGTAAGTTTTAACTTATGAAAGTTGTAAAAAAAGTACAAAAAAAAATATCTTAAAAAAAATGTAAATTTGTACAAATGCATTTGTAAAGCTATTTGATTGAAATTATTTAAATTGTAGTCACAAAAAATGTCTTTTTTGTGACCACAATTTAAATGTCTCGATTAGGTCTTCATGAAACACCTTTAAACAAAAATGCAATTTTTGTTTTTAGGTGTTCCAAGAAGACCTAACAGAGCACCTAAATAAAATTAAAAAAATTTTAAATTATCTGTGACAAGAGCACCTAATAACCTCATATTATTAGCTGATCATGTCACAAAGCACCTAATAACATAAGGAGTAATTTATAAAAGACATGTCAGACACACCTTTTTTTTTTTCTTTTTCTTTATTTTTCCATACTTTGACAAATTAAACTCAGTGATCAACCGAAATAAACTGAAATTTTAGGTATACTAGTTCAATACCAAAACCAACATTTCAGCAAATATTTTACCCTAACTAAAACCGAAATTTCAGCTAAACAAAATAATTTCATGTAAATATGCAATTTTACATTTTTTTAGGATTTGTTATTTTTTTACATTTGTTGTTTATTTTTTTGATGACTTCTTCCCAACTTATATAATAATAAATTAATAGTCATAAATAAAATTTAAGAAAAGTTGCTCCTAGAAAAATCTATAAAAATAATTAAAAGCTTACATCAGGTATGGCCCACACTACTCTTAAATGGTTTCCGGGAGAAATTGATGGCTTTCACAAAAGTATGATTTTTTTGTAACAGTCAATACCACTATTGACATTATTGAGATTATATATTATGATCACTATTAACATAAATGACATAATGGTTAAGTTTGCAAAGTTGTTTATAAAAGAAAATTATTATCATTGCAACTAAAATAAAAAATCTCATTTTTTTAAAATAAACCAATAATACACATTTTCACAGTTCCGATAATTTTATGCACGCATATTTTAATATTATGTCATCATCCTTTATACACAGAAATGTATGACAAGGTAAATACATATATATTAAAAAATCATTCAGTAAAGAAACAGTTGCTAACATGACATTTCATTTCTTTTTCATAATAAAGACATTGATTTTGCTTTTTATAAGCTTATTTTAACCATTTTAAGTCTAAAAATTATACAGCTTATATGCTTGTGTTATAGAACATATGTAAATATGAATGAAATAAATTTAAAAACAAATTCATCCGGGGAGTGAAAAAGCTCTTAAAGAGTATAGTGTGAAAATGTAAATTACATACATATATAAATATATATTATACACATACATATATATGCATATATACTATAAATATATACATATATATACTATAATATATGTGTATATATATACTATATATATATATATATATATATATATATATATATATATATATATATATATATATATATATATATATATATATATATATATATATATATATATATATATTGAAATAGCTGCCGGACATTGACTGGCACTTGTCTGGTAAAAAACAATATCTATCAGTTATTTTATCGGCCCATATTTGTTTGCATTTATTTTATAATCATTTTAAAAATTATTCATTAATTTTTGAACTTTTTATTTTTTATACAAAACAGTAAATGAAGTTGAACACACAGCTACGTTAATAAAATAAATCATTTTTCTGAGCTAAAGTATTTTTGAAAAGACGCCTAAGCATTAAACTTATTTGAATTTAGCAGCCCCATTTTCATCATTTATATTAAAAGGTTGCAATTAGTTATTAGTTTAAATTTATACTTCGGTATTTGTTTTATTTTTTGTCCGATGGTTTTTATAAATTTCAAACAAATATTTTAGCTTTTAAAACCAATTTAAATTCATTTAAAAAAGACTCATTTAAAGACTAACGTAATAATTTTTTTAATGCTTATAGAAACCAGTACTTTTTATTACACTATTAAAATTAAGTTACAATACGTAAAGTTTGTTTTTGCGCTAAAGTTTCTTGCTATTAAAAGTGTTTATAAAAGTAATCATAGAAAAAGTTTGAAAAGATTTATCAAAAAATACAAATTTATATAAATGTAATTACGTAAAACATCCTTTAATAATATAAATAAAATGGGTTTATTGTAAACAATCATTAGAATTAATTTATTTAATAAAGTAATAAGTAAACATAATTAACATATTTAATATGTTTATAACATTTTACAAAGCATTTCGCATTGGATAGCATTTTTTTTAAACCATTTTTCTGAGTTAAAGTATTTTTAAAAGGTGTGGTCAGTAATGGCATTCAATCGCAATTCTTTAGGTTTTATTGGACATGTCCGCCAAACTTGAGTATTTATTGGACTAATTGTGCAGCACAAAAAAAGTCCATTATGTCAAGTCTTGTATGTGTGTGTGTGTTTATATATATATATATATATATATATATATATATATATATATATATATATATATATATATATATATATATATATAGAGAGAGAGAGAGAGAGAGAGAGAGAGATTTTATCTGTTGATCAGCTTCGCACCCTTTCTTCATCTATTAGGTTGGCGCAGATGTATTTTTAATACATTATATCCAATTTAGGATGTTGAATGCTGGATTCTTGACTCTATGCATGGGTTTTGCTTGTTTTTGCCTCTGTTTTTATGACTAGGCAACTCATTCAATTATCTTAATGAGGGTACAGCTCTAAAACTCAGTTTTATGGTTATGAGGCCAGCTGGTAGTCAGGTTTCCTAAACTCTGTCGTAGCTCTCAGAGAGTCTGATTCCATCAACAGCTGAAAAATATCAAAGTATTAACAGTACCATGTTGCAAATGGATGGTGTCCATGTTTGTATTTTTGGTGTGCATTGCCAAGGCCACATTGGAGCCCTTTGTTACAGCTTAGGGTTTATTAATAGTAATGAGGCAAATGCTTGGGCTATTTAACAGTGTACTGAGTACTATCTATGTTTCGAGTCAAGTTCTTTAACAAATTTAAAAATAAATAAAGTAACAAAAACTATATAGCAAAAAAAACCATTGCTATCACCAAGTTCTCTAAACCTTTCACTAATATTTGTGGTCTTTGAAGTAACTTTTCTTCAGTTGAGTCTTATCTCTTGCAAAGTTCACCAGACCTACTTGTTCTTTGTGAGACTAATTTAAGTTCAGCTATCTTATCTTGTGATTTTAGCGTTGATGGTTATCTTCCTTTAATTCGTAAAGACTCCAATAGTCACATGCTTGGCTTGGGCATTTACATTCGTAAGAATTCACCCATTTGTCAACAAACTAGGTTTGAATCCACAGACTACTCTTTAATATGCTTTCGTTTAGCACTACTTCACTCTATCACCTTTCTCTTTGTTCTATATTGCTCTCCTTTAACTCAAGACTGCACTCTTCTTGACATTATTTCTGATCAAATTGACCAAGCCCTCTCTCTTTACCCATCAGTCCATCATCATCTCTTTATCCATCAGTCCATCCATCAATATTGTTATTGTCGGTGACTTTAATGTTCATCACACTGAACGGTTTGGTTCTAGTATCAGTGACTCTGCAGGTATTAAAGCCCACAACCTTTGCCTTTCTCAATCCCTAACTCAAATAGTCAACATTCCAACTCACTTTCCAGACAACCCAATTCATCTACCTTCTCTACTTGACTAATGTTTTGTTTCTGATCCTAGTCAGAGTTCAGTTTCTCCACATTCACCCTTAGCTTATGCTAAGGGTGAATGTGGAGAAACTGAAATGTGGAGATTACCTTATGCCTCTGATCACAGTTTGATCTCTTTAAAACTATCATCTCATTCTTCCTCATCATCAGAATCCCCCTATTATCGTATATCTTACAACTACCTAAAAGTTGACTAGGACACTTTCCGTGACTTTCTTCGTGATAGCCCTTGGATAGATTTCTTTCGTCTTCCAGTTAACAAATGTGCTTCTTACATAACTTTGTGGATTCAGGCTGGCAAGGAATCTTTTATTCCCTCTTGACGATTCCAGGTCAAACCTCACTCTTCTCCATGGTTTTCCTCACATTGTGCAGCTGCAATTGCCAATCGAAACCATTACTTCCATATCTATCAGCAAATTAATTCTCCAGAAAACAGACTTCTGTTTATTACTGCTAGGAACCATTGTAAAAAGGATTTGTCTAACGCCAAAGCCCGCTATTCTCAGGTCATGAAATCTAGTATTTCATCACAAAAAATAGGCTCTTGTGACTTCTGGAGAATTTTCAATAGTATCAATAATAAGGGCAAGTCTGTAATTCCACCTCTTTTGTATAATTCAGACTTTGTCACCTCAGCTAAAGACAAAGCTGAATTATTTGCCAAGAACTTTTCATCAATATCATCTCTTGATTCCGCTAGTTGCGTTCTACCTGATATAGCCGTCAAACAGGTTGATTCATTGCTTGACATTCATATCACTCCAGTTTCTATATCTAAAGTGATTTCCCTCTTAGACTCTGGATTCTATTCTCTATCTCTATAAATCTCAAATCCGGATGTTTAAAAAAAAAAAAAAAAGAGTCCATATTTCTCCTAGAATAACCTTGTCTTGTAAGAAAAAAATGAAAAACAATAATCCTTATTTGATATTTTTCTTTTATAATGCTCTGAAAAAATATTAAAGATCTTTATTTTTCTTGATTAAAAATAAAAGACAAATATTTACCTTAATAAAATTAGTGCATTTAAAATTTAGTTTTGATTTTCCAGTTGAATTCTCATCATGTTTATTTTGCTTTTTCCATTTTTTTTTGTATACCTTTCTTCCTTTTGTTTTACTGGATGTTGAATAAGTTTGACTACTGTCAGTATCGTCATCATTATCTTGAAACAGAATTAAATATGCAATTAAATAAACATTACTTTTAATGAAATTCTTTATAATAAGAGATATTTAAAAATACACAAACATAGCACCTAACTCACTGATTTTTTTAAATATATACTCATCTTTTTCATCCAATCCTTTACATAAGACCCAGGAAGATATTATGGTCAAGGATATTATATATATATATATATATATATATATATATATATATATATATATATATATATATATATATATATATATATATATATATATATATATATATATATTTTTCCTAATTGCTCTTAATACCAGGACATATAAAACTCCTCTCAGACATAATGAACTCCTCATACAAAGTGATTGCTCTTGCATTATATCCTTATCCCAGGCCTTGTTTTAAAGCTTAAACTGGCGTGTCATTTATGTATGCGCTAAGCTATTTAACATAAACAGTAAGCCATTTTTACTTTAGCCATTTTTTATTATTTAAACATTTTTTAATATTTAAACAAGTCTAAGAAATCATTCAAGTGGTAAGATAAAAAGAAGTAATTAAAGTTATAAAAACAACTTATGAAGTTTAAATGACAATTATGTAAAAAAGTTTGCATGACAACTGCGTTTGATATTTCAACTATTTACAAATGTAATAACTTAAGAAAAAAAGAAAAACTTAAGAAATTTAATTTTTATTAACCCAACTTTTCCATCAAAAATGTTCAGTATAAGGAAAAAAAAAAAATAATAGGTACTTTCACGATTAAGACTTTTAACGCTCACCCACACGCCCGCACATAAAAAAGTGCTTGCTGAAAAATACAAAAGCAATTTGTTTTCAATTGCAACATAACTTTTTTGTTTGTTTGTTTAACTTTTATGAAAAATGGTTTTTTTTACCACTTTATTTTTTAAACTACTTTATCTGGTATTTATTCAAAGCACTCTTTTTAATGTTTTTATTCTAAAATAAAATTGTTTTGTGGTAATTTATTCTATTGCAGTAGTTTAAAAAAGTTTGTCTTTAAATAATACAAAAAAAAAAGATAATTTTATGACGTCAAAATCACAAAAAGCTAAGGGCTTTTTATTTAAAACAAGGCCCATTTAAAGCAAAAAGCTTTTTATTTAAAACAAGGCCTGTTATACAGACAAAAAGAATCTTTTATTTCTTTTTATAAATACATCTTTGTGCAAAGTGTAAATATTATTGCATTAAAATAAAAAATTTAATTTCATTTAACAGAATTCAATGCAACTAAAGTACTTTTGTTTAGCAAATGCATAGGTTTAAATTTTAATATCAATGCTCATACTAAAACATCACATCTCAATTTATATAACAAGCATTTTTTTCCAGGCAACAGAGCAACTCTTACCAAACGACAATGCAAAAAATTATATAAACAAGAAATTTTATATTAACAACAAAGCAGCAATTTAATTGAAACAACAAGATTTTGAAATTGAAAACAGAAGAAATAAAATTTTATGAGTAACAAAAAGGTTTATAGCTTCCGTTATGACTAACCAAAGTTTACATACTTTCAGTGTACATAATTCATAAAACTTTTATGAATTATGTTAAATATTATGAAAATATTACACTAAAAAAATTATTACTTTTATTAAAAGTAATAATTTTTTTAGTGTAATATTTTCATTAGAAAAATCGATTAGAGAATTATAATATTAAAAAAATTATGATAAAACATTAGTCGACAAACCTTACCACGATAACTATCGTCGATAAAATCATTAACAGTATCCATCAAAAAGTTTCTATTAGGATATAATAATATTATCTCAGAGTTAATTTGACAATTTCCCGCGTTAGCTTTAATTTAGTCCGAAAAACTGTTATTTTTGAAGTTCACATTCGCCTTTTTGTGTTTTACGGCAAAGAAGTGTTAGAATGCATATATATATATATATATATATATATATATATATATATATATATATATATATATATATATATATATATATATATATATATATATATATATATATATATATATATATATATATATATATATATATATATATATATATATATATATATATATATATATATATATATATATATATATATATGTATATATATATATATATATATATATATATATATATATATATATATATATGTATATATATATATATATATATGTATATATATATATATATATATATATATATATATATATATATATATATATATATATATATATAATGAATATATAAAAAGTGTATATAAAATAATATATATATATATATATAAATAAAATCTAAAAAGTGATGTCAACTCGTAGTGAGAAAACGCGTTCAAGAAAAGAGCTTTCTTATTCGAAGCTCTTTTCTTGAACGTAGTCCTTAGATATCAAAACAAATACTTGGTACCTTGGAGCAGTTGGAGATAATTGCTTCAGGCGCACATTTTTTTATGAATTCTACGAATCTTTTTATAATTTATTGTTATATTTTAATGAAAATATTTTAGTAGTTTACATTTTTTAATTAGAAGTTTCGAAGTTGTAAGAGGTTTGCTCGTTGTAGATTTTTATAAAAGAGACTATTAGGGCCGGATTAAGACAATTTAAGGTCTGAAGCTATAAATATAGGAGGGTCTAATGCGGCGGTAGCCTCAAAATGTAAAGCGGGAACGAGACAATATTAGAAAGCTTTGGGAAAAAAGTCGCTGGTACGGCTACACGCATTTGTCCAAAACACCCATATATAAGCAAAGTGTTTTTCTCACTAGAGCATGAGTAAATAATTTATTTACTAAGACTCTAAGGACTGAAGTTCCCGAAAAACGGTTCTTCGGTTCTTCGGTTCTTCGGTATTTTTCGGGGAATCGAAAGGAATCGAAGGTTTCGGTTCCTTATCAGAATAGGAATCGAAAAGAGCCGAAGTTATCGGTTCCTTATAAAAAAGGAATCGAAAAGAACCGAAGTTATCGGTTCCTTATCAAAATATGAATCGAAAAGAATCTAAGTTATCGGTTTTTTATCAGAATAGGAATCGAAAAGAACCGTAAATTGATTACTAACCTTTTTTTTAATAATATACTTCCGTTATAATCAATATTTTCGATTCTTTTCAATATTTTCAATATTTTTGGTAATTTCGATTCTTTGTAATAAAAATGGTAAATTTCAATTATTAATTAAAAAATCGTTTTTAATGTAAAGAATCGTTTTTATTACAAATACGTTTTAATAATGGCGTGCAAAATTAAATTCAAATTCATTCAAATTTAATTTCCCTCCCCTAAGGGATTCCCCTTTACCAGTATAGATAGTGGGGTTTTGTGAAAATCTAATCAGTTACAATTTATTGTTTCACAAACAACTCTTTACAACAATTTACAATAATGTCTCAAGTTAATAATGCAATTTGGAATTACTTTACCAAACTACCAGAAGTGACAGTGAATTCTGACACCAAAAAGAAAACTTATAAACCAAGTTGTAATCAATGTCAAGCAGTGTTAACTTGCTGCCATGGAAGTACATCAGGAATGAGTAAACATTTAAAGTAAGTAATGTTTTTTCAATTTTTTCGGTAATTTCGATTCTTTTCAATATTTTCAGAATTTTTGCAATTTAAGTTAATATTAAGTAAAGATTTACTTTATAAAAAAATAAAAAAATAACAATAGTTCTGAATAATTAAATAAACATAAGCACTGATTATTATTTATTATACAGTAACAGCTAACAGTAATACTGTTTGTTACATTTAATTTAATATAGCGCCATCTATAGGAGTTATTTCAATTTTTTCGATTCTTTTCAATATTTTCAATTATTTCGGTAATTTCGTTTCCTATCCCTATAATTATTTAATTTAAATCTTTTTTTATACAGATCTCAGCATCCCATTCAAGCCAAAGCTTATATTAAGGTAAGAATGACAAGGTAGTGCAACTGGCTGCTGACAGGGAGGAAGTTGAAAAGGAGCTTGATAGATCTTCAAGTTTGAGAGGTTTCTTTCCAGCCACAACCACTAATAAAAAAAGGCTGGATAACCTTAGTAAAAAGTCTCCACCATCCAGTCAGCAAGGTGATTATGAAAAACTTCAAGTAACTCTGGATGAGTATGTTAAGGTGAGAAAAATATTGAAATTTTTTAGTAGCTTAAATAATCGTTTTTATAACATTTTACCGTTTTTATTTGTAAATATTCGAATCAAAATCAAGCCCAAATTGGTAAATTGAGAAAAAATATTTCTTCAAAAAAAACTCGGATCTTTTAGGCGCCGTTTGGGCCATGCAGAAAATATTTTTTTTCTCAATTTACCAATTCGGGCTTGATTTTGATGAAACTAATGTTAGAAATCTATTTTTATATTAAATTAGAAACTTTTGTGCCCTTTTCCAAATTTATAATATACTTTAAAGTTTAATAACTCTGTAAATTAATAAAAAGTTAAATTTCCACACTAGACAACAATTTAATGATTCCAAATTAATGTCCTTTTTGCTCTAAACTCAATATTAACAAAGTTATTGAGGTTTAAATTTTTTGATTTGACCTGTTACCTAACACGTGCATGTAGATTTAGTAAACACGTGTTTTTCAAACGTTTCAAAACTTTAAAGGCTTTTAACTTTAAACTTCTTTGTTTTAATAGATAGAGTGATTAGCACTGTCTCTAGAAACTGCAACAACTTACCCATATATATTAGGTTGTCAGGTCTTGTTTAACGTAATTTCGATTCCTTGCGGTAATTTCGATAATTTCGATTCCTTTCGATATTTAACATTTTTTTTTTATTATTTCAGATAACTAAATGGGATTCACAAAGCAGCTGTCAGCTTGATTTTAATACAGTTCTCACTCTGGCCTGCATCATGTCAAATCTTCCTTTCAATATTGTGGAAACTCCAGGAATAATGTTGCTCTTGAACTATTTGGCACCAAAAGCAATCATAAAAACACCAAAAACACTTGCTACAACAAAGCTTGACATGATTCATCGTAATGTTAAAAAGGCTAACCAATCAACTTGAGGAAGAAGTACCAGAATGTAAAAGTGTAGTTTTTACATCAGATGGTTGGACTTCAAAAAATGGTGATCCTTTTGAATCTCTCACACTCCATTACATCAATAGTGATTTTGAGTTGAAAAAGTACAGTTTGGACTGCCAGGCTCATTTAAATAGGAAAACAGGTCCTTTACTTGCCAAAGGATTAGACACTATGATTTCAAAATATGAAGTCTTGGCAAGGCCTGACCTAGAAAGAACATGTGTGACTGATGGTGCAGCTAACATGAAGGCAGCTGTCAGTTTAGCAACTTTATTGGACAAGCAATTGGTGTGTGTTGATCACATGTTGAACAATTGTTTGAAAGACACATTAGGAAATGGTGAGGTTAAGGTAATTGTTGATAAGTGCAAGAGACTTGCTCAAAGGACACATCAAAGCACTAAGGAATGGTATGAAATCAAACAAGAATGTGAATCTCTAGGGTGTAATCCAATCAAGCTAATCCAACCAGTGCAAACAAGATGGAATTCAAATGCAATGCTGTTCAAGTCAGTGTTAAGAAATGAGCAAGGTTTGAAGTCTGTCAGAGATAACAGCCTGAATGCAAACTTGACAATACTTATACCAAGTGATGACACAAAATACTTCAGGTTAAAAATATTTTTTTGTGATTCTTTCGATTCTTACTAATAATTTCGATGATTATCAACAAATTATGCAATTTTGATTACTTATTCATTTATCTCTTTTCCAGGTTTAAAAATTGCTAAAGCTGCAATGACCAGGTTTATAGAATACTTGGAAACTAGGATTCCAGATAAAGGCACTGAAGTTAATGACTTTAATCTTGCAAGTGTGTTTGATCCATTTTATAGAGGTTATTCTATCACATTAATCAAGGGCAACAAAGATCATTTAGATGGAATAATAGACCAACTGGTAGATAATCATCCAACTACCAGAGAATACAATGAGGCTTATAAGGCTTCATTACCTTCTGCAATGCCAAACTTAGATGGAGATATGGATGATTTTGAGAGAATGGCCATGGAAAATGATGGAAATGATGCACCAACTTTTGCAGGACCATCAGAGCCTCCTCTTAAGGTAGATATTCATTTTTATTAATAATAATTTCGATTCTTATAAATATTTCCGATACTTATAAATATCGGTTCCTATACACATTTTCGATTCTTATACACATTTTAGATTCTTTGCGGTAAATTCAAATTCAAATTTTTTTTTTAGATGGAATTTAAGAGGTACTTGTCTATGCAAAAGCCAGCTGTGAAGGTTTTGGAATGGTGGAAGGTCAATCAAAAGGAACTGCCATTACTAGCTGCTATGGCGAGGAAGTACTTGTGTCCACCAGTGACTTCATGCTCTTCAAAAAGGCTATTTTCATTAGGAGAAAATATTATTAGTGATAAAAGGCACAATATGAAGCCAGAGACCCTTCAAAAAATAATGTTCATAAAAGAAAACTTTCCACTAGTCAAATCAAAAATAAGGTCCTGGGACAAAAAATGCCCTGGTGAACCAGGCTATCAGTCTCAACCTCTACCATCCACCTCTCAAGATCAACCTCTACCATCTACCTCTCAAAATCAATCTCTATCATCAACTTCACAGACTCAACCTCTACCATCACCTTCTCAGACTCAACCTCAACCGTCTCCATCTACACTAACCCAATCAACCAAACAGAAAAAAATGAAAAGTTTTTTGAAACCAAATGAATTACAATCTCAAAGTCTACTACAAAAAGCTAAAAAAAGGAAACTTGTACTTGAATCACCAATGAAAAAATCACCAATGAAAAAAAACCCTATATATGATGCATCTAAAGATTTATTTAATACTGAAGCTAGTGATAGTTCTACT